AGCCCACCGGCCTCCATCATGGTAATGTAATGTAGTATGAATTAAAAAAGGAAGACTGTATTTGATATTCCCAAAATGTTTAATAATGTGCAACATTTCATCAGACTTTAGAAGGTCTAGGGGTCAAATTCTTTTTGGGAGCATCAAATACAGTTTGTGAGAATTCCTCCTTCTTCACATTCACCTTTAGCTTTGTCCATCACCCGATTCCAGCTTGGGTTGGATGTGCACACCTTGAATAGTTTTTATAAGTAATGTAAGCTAATCTTTTCCTTTTTCCTTTCTCTAGACTGCTGGTCTGTGATTGTGCTCATTCGTGTTTTGTTACCCGTTTAGGTGTGTACAGGTGTGCTGACTGGACTCCTCCTGTTCTCCCTGTCCTCCTCTGTGGTATCAGCAGACAAGGTGAATCGGGAGACTCTCGCTAAAATCATCCAAGTCTTTGAGAGCAGGTAAGCGAGTGAGACTCCCATCATAGTTTAAGTTATTTGTCAGAGTAAACAGCTATAAATATTTGTAGCGAATCTTCTTAAATATTAGTAGTTATCCTTCAAGGTTGGTCAAAAGTATGATCAAGAAGCAGTTGTCATGACTATTCCATGCAGCCTGTCATTATGACTTGTATGTGAATTCAGCAGGCAGAGGAAAATCCTGACTGATAAAAAGAGGGAATGGTATTTGTGCACCGTGTCAAGCCTGGGATGTGCAGCATCAGTAACATCAGGTCTTCATTTATCTTGTTTTTACTCTTTGTTTCTCCAAGATATAAACCATCTGAACAGACCGACAGTGGTGACGGTGCCCAGTACGCTGTGGCCATCAAAGTCCCAGCAGAACAGTGTATGGAAAATTTCGATGAGAAGTTCCTTAGCTATGAGGACACAGATACTGTCAGGAATGACCTCATGACGAAGAGACTTTACAAGGGAAAAAAGATGGTCGCTGCCAGACCAAAGGGCACGGGCTCCAAAGCCTTCCACTCAGAGCGTGTCTTGCTCATGTGTGAAGATCGTATCCGAACTGTCACTCCTGTGCGAGTCCTGCTGAACAATGGAGATGAAAATGACTGTTTGGTGTTCTACACCTACAACTCTCCATGTCTGGACTACTGTCTGAACCAAAAAAATGACAACGACCAACAGAACCGGGAGAGGGCCCAGAAAGAGAGAGGAAATACTAATGTCACCCCCGCTGTGAAGAAGTGCATCCTGGACTCTCTCAGAGTACTGACCAATCACCCCGGTCCCAAGGCCTTTGTGTTCAGTCAGGTCTATAGGAAGGACAGAGAAAACACCAAGCTGGCCTCTGCCCTGAAGGAGGTTGCAGAGAAGGTCCCCCTCTACAAATGTAACACCAACCGCTGTATCGAGTGCCTGGATAACAATAACAACTTCAACAATCAATGCCTGTCCTAAGCGAGACACATTGTAATCATGTCCAAATGGATATTCATCTTTTTTCTCTCAAAGAATATTAATGATTTGTAACTTGATTTATTAACATATATTAATACTCTTTGACTACTGTTAATTATGCACTTGTGATTTGAAATCATTTAATAAATATCACAGCAACAATTACAGAGGTTTGTCTATGTGTTGGAAAAAATAGCTGAATGTTTGGATTTGTGAGTGTTTGTGTGTGGAGATAAAAATCTTTTAGTCACATGAAAAAAAGTATACAGAAAGCAACAGACTGAAAAGGAATTTAGAAAACCAGGAGTGAGTAAAAACTTCATCAGACAAAAAAGTCTGTCTTAAAATTGGGCCTCCCCGCCAGCAGATGGCAGCACTGAGAGCTGAGATCTTCCTCCTCATGAATCCGCAGGGAGGAGCTCAGTCACACACACCCACACATTACCACCATCCTCTTTAAAGGCTCCGTACAGGAACATGCTGTTTTAACACGATGTGAGGGGGATATAGGGCTCTCAAAGGAACAAACAGGCACACTTAGGTTCGCTTCTAAAATGCTTTATTACAAGTGATACAAAATAACCTTGCATTAAAATCAATACCAAAATATTGGATCAAAGGCAATGCAAAATAATCCTGTATCACGTATTGGAAGTGGTATCCAATAATATTATATATCATTAGCAATAATAAAACCGCCAATACAAGTGATTATAGGCATGTATAAAAAGTGACAACTGAAACATGCATATATAGAGAGTGCAACTTGATATTATAGTTATTGTGATAATTGATTGAATAAACACATTGACACTGCAGAGCTATTCACACTTGGACGTGCCATCATCACCTACCTTCACTCTTAGACTGGGGAGCCTGTTTCAGTCCTGGCAGGAGACCAACACGTGAGTCCCGAGAAAGTGCCGGGTGATGCGCGCTCTATCCCACGGCTGAGCTCCGGTCAGCACTGAGATCTCCCCCTTCTTTTATACTAAATTTAGGCACCGCGTGCGGGCAGGGGACGAGCTGGCCAGGCTCACCCCTCCCCTCAGGCATTGTGTTGTCTAATTTCCAATTTTGTCCTGTTGGTTGGTGGTAATAATTAAAGTATTATGTAATGGGGAACATTGCACATATGGGCTTATTGCACGTGTTAATATCACTTTGGTTGGTGGTAATAATTAAAGTACTATGTAATGGGGAACATTGCACATATGGGCTTATTGCACGTGTTAATATCACTTTGGTTGGTGGTAATAATTAAAGTACTATGTAATGGGGAACATTGTACATAAGAGTGTATTGCACGTGTT